GGGGGGGGCGCAGCTTCCTTATTTCTGCGTAATCTGGACCACCAGATGGAGGCTGGCCATCTTTTCAAATAAAAAATCAACCGGCAGCCTTCACTTGGTACCTTCCTCTTCCTTTCATCGACCATCAAGGATTAACTTTTCTATTTATATCTTCTGATCTTTTCATTCTTCCTCCCTACAATTCATCCTTCTAAACCTTAATTAGTACATTCGAGTTTGATTCCTTTCATCAATCTTAATGGCTTCTCTCTCTCAAAAACAAGGTCAGCACATCTCTTTTTTCTCTTTCCACTCCTTCAGAGTAATTGTACGCGGGATATATTTCATGTTCTGGTGACTTTAATGATAATTTATAAGTTCTTTATTATCATCTTTAAATTCATGCACAAAACGGCATGGCTATCTGTGAATATATAATACAAACTTTAATTGAGTTGGTACTGAACCTAACTAGTTTTACAACACACTAAAATAATCTGAAGGGGGTGTTTGGTATGCAATTTAGATGCGAATTTACGTTAAATATTATTATAAATATGCCAAATACAAAAAACCGATAGTTAAATACCATCAATTTCTAAATTCAAAAATTTAACTGTTTTGACGTAAATCCGATAAAATTAAGGAGCTTAAATTGAGCTTGAAGAATGATGAATTTAAAAGAATCGAATTTGAATAACATCCCAAAAGCTCGAATCGGGCTCGGCCCGAGCTTGAACTTAGTAAATGAGCTCAATTTTGAAAATGCCCTCGCTCAAATCAACTCGGTTCTTTTGCAGCCCTACTCATGATTCAAGTAAGAAAATTAGATTGTACTTTCAAAGAATTTATATTCATTTGAAGTGTAACAATAAATCCATGCATGTAATTAACATAATTTTTTTATTAAAATTCTTTAATTAATAACTTATGTTATTTCTTCTTATTGTGAGAGAATTTGATCTTAATATTAGACCAAGCCTTTTTTTTTTTAGAAGAGTTTGCATGAAAACCTGAATGGTATTTTTCACATCTTAGACTATGATGCCAAAGAAGAGATGCGCTCACAAATTGGACTGCCTGCATTGGAAATCTCGGCCGCATTTCCTCAGGCTACGCCTGGATCAGTATTTCCTCCCATGAGTAAGTTTAAATTATTGAATTCATTAGAGAAGTATTTTGAAACGGTCAAATAATATGAATATGATAACTTTTCTATATTAATCAATTAAAACCTTATAGTCTGTACGTAATACTGTTTAAAAATAACTATGATATGCTTGTAATTAATAATGTTTTTATTTTCTATTAACTGCAGCATGTGATTATTATCAGTTTAATGATTTGCTTAACCATGAGGAGAAGTCCTTACGGATAAAAGTTCGGGAAGTCATGGAAAAGGAAGTTGCTCCGATAATTGCAAGGGTACTCCCATTCTCTGTGATAATTATATTGTTCTAATATATATATATATATATATATTTAAATAAATACCCCGATATGTCTGTAGTACTGGGAGAAGGCAGAATTCCCATTTCATTTAATTCCAAAGCTGGCTTCCATGAATGTCAATGGGGGAACAATAAAGGTGACGTATGATAACCACAATATATTGTTCAAAAAACTCTTTACTTCATGCTAATATATGTGTGTATATATATATATATATATATATATATATATATATATATATATTTGACTCTGTGCGTATA